AGTCGCTAGAGGGGGCGGGAGGCGCCCGGGGGCGGTCGACCCTCCCGGCCACGGGTGGGGCGGCGGCGGCGGCAGGCGGCGGGGACGGCGTCGGCGGGTGGTGGCGGCGGCGGAGGTGTCGACGGTGGAGGTGTGTGGCGGGGCGGGGCCTGGCTTGCGCGCAGACAGGGGGGCAGCCCGACGGCGGCGGGGCGGGGAGGAGGTGGCGGTGGTGGTGGAGGCGGTGGAGGGGGAGGCGGTGGCGGCGGCGGCGGAGGCGACAGGCTGGGCGGTGGCGGACTGGGTGGCGGCGGCGGCGGCGGTGGCGACGGCGGCGGCGACGATGGGGTGGGGCTCGGGAGGCGTGGCAGCGGCGACTCGAACGTGGCACGGTGGCGGAGGCGTTGGAGGGGGAGGCGCGGTGGCAGAGGAGACGAGGGGCGGGCGGGGGGCGCGTCCAGGGCGCGGAGGGCGGCCGGGTGAGGGCGGGCGGTGCGTCGCGCGGCTCTGGGTGGGGGCGGCGGCGCACGAGGTAGTTGGGCTGGTTGTAGTCTGACGACGCCTGGCGCGCCGAGGCGCGAGTCGGCGCCGAGCTGGTCGAAGGCTGCTCGCGGCGCTCGTTGGCCTTCTTCTCGGCCTCGCTGCGCTCGTTGCGGATGTCCTGGCAGAGCAGCGGGGATAGTGAGAGCGTGATGTAGAGGAGGTGAGCGAGAGGAGGAGGCGAGTGCGTGCGAGACAGGAAGAGGCGAGAGAGGGTGGCGGGGTGCGAGCGAGTCCGGTGGCGAGAGGTAGGTGGGCTGTGTGAGCGAGAAGGGAGGGGAGCGAGGGAGGACGGGTGGCCTGCACGAGCGTCGTGATGCCGAGCTTGACGAGCATCTGCTGGTTCTCGATCACCTGCGCCGAGGGGGGTGGGCGTGAAGCGAAGCGGAGTCTGGTCGCTGGGAAGGTGTGCCTCGGTGGGTGCGTGGGTCGGGAGGCGTACAGCTGGGGTCGGGGAGGCGGCGCAGGGGGTGGCCGTGGCGGGGCTGCGGAGGGTCGGCTGCGGCCTCGCGTCGGGCGGCGGAGGTGTGTTGGGCGGCGGAGGTGTGCTGTGGTTGGCTCTCTGGGGCGAGCGTGAGGCTGCAGCCGAGAGGGGGCGGTGGGGGATGTGGCCGTGACGGCATCGTGGGAGCGCGCGAGGGCGGTGGAGGCGGACGCGCGGGTGGTGGCTGGGCCGGCAGGGATGGCGACGGTGGGCGAGTGCCGACGGGCGGGGCTGCGAGGCATGTGCGGGTGGTGTGCGGCCTCGGTCACGATGGCGACGGCGCCCTTGCAGCGTGGTGGGGCAGGGGTGGCGGGGAGGCTAGAGGGAGAGGTGGCGACGAGGGCGGAGGAGGGGGCGGGGCGGCCGTCCGTGTCGGCGGCGGTGGCGCTAGCGGCGGCAGCGTGGTTGGTGGCTGCGGCCGAAGGCGTGTCGGGGGGTGGGAGGATCTGCATCGCATGAAGCGAAGCGGAGTCTGGTCGCTGGGAAGGTCGACGTCTCGCGTCGGTGGGTGCGTGGGTCGGGAGGCGTACTGCTGGGGTCGGGGAGGCGGCGCAGGGGGTGGCCGTGGCGGGGCTGCGGAGGGTCGGCGGCGGCCTCGCGTCGGGCGGCGGAGGTGTGTTGGGCGGCGGAGGTGTGCTGTGGCTGGCTCTCTGGGGCGAGCGTGAGGCCGCAGCTGAGAGGGGGCGGTGGGGGATGTGGCCGTGACGGCATCGTGGGAGTGCGCGAGGGCGGCGGTGGCCGACGCGCAGGTGGTGGCTGGGCCGGCAGGGATGGCGACGGTGGACGAGTGCCGAAGGGCGGGGCTGCGAGGCATGTGCGGGTGGTGTGCGGCCTCGGTCACGATGGCGACGGCGCGTTGCAGCGTGGTGGGGCGAGGGTGGCGGGGAGGCTAGAGGGAGAGGTGGCGACGAGGGCGGAGGAGGGGGCGGGGCGGCCGTCCGTGTCGGCGGCGGTGGCAGTGGCGGTGGGAGCGTGGTTGGTGGCTGTGGCCGAAGGCGTGTCGGGGGGTGGGAGGATCTCATCGCATGAAGCGAAGCGGAGTCTGGTCGCTGGGAAGGTCGACGTCTCGCGTCGGTGGGTGCGTGGGTCGGGAGGCGTACTGCAGGGGTCGGGGAGGCGGCGCAGGGGGTGGCCGTGGCGGGGCTGCGGAGGGTCGGCGGCGGCTCGCGTCGGGCGGCGGAGGTGTGTGGGGCGGCGGAGGTGTGCTGTGGTTGGCTCTCTACGGCGAGCGTGAGGCTGCAGCTGAGAGGGGGCGGTGGGGGATGTGGCCGTGACGGCATCGTGGGAGTGCGCGAGGGCGGCGGTGGCGGACGCGCGGGTAGTGGCTGGGCCGGCAGGGATGGTGACGGCGATGTGATGTGTGTTTGCGAATGGTGTGGGCGAAGCTGCGCGGTGCGCTGTGCTCGGGCGGTCGTCTTGGCTTGCCACGCGTGGGAGAGTGCGTGGGCACAGTGATCGAGACGCGTGCCTGCCGATTGCGCTCCTCCTCGTAGTCGGAGAGCGTCTTCGCCCTGACGGCCATCGCCGCGCGCGCCTCCTCCGGCTCGTCGGGGAAGTACAGCGGGTACAGCTCGCGGCCGAGGCGGCGCGAGCGGCTCTGCGGGGGCGCGAGTGGTGACGCGTTGGAATGGCGGGACGCACTGCGTTCGGGGAGGGGGCGCGGCGTGCGACGCATCCCCGACGTGCTCTTCACGTCAGTGGCTGAGGCTGCGGCTGCGGCTCCGGTGGGGCGGGGGTTTGGGCGGTGCGGCTCCGGTGGGGCGGGGGTTTGGGCGGTGTGCACGAGCCTGCCACTCGCGAAAGAAGAGATCGCGGACGATCTGGAGGCGCGCCGTCGGGTACAGCCGGGCGGGGTTCAGCATGAGCCGCTCCCACTGTCGCGGCGAGGGCACGGGGCGGCGGCACGCGTAAGCGGGAGGGGGCAGGGTGTGGACGAGGGCGCGCGGACGAGGCGGTGCAGCTGGGACGCTGGGCAGCGTGGCGCGCGAGGCTGTCCCGGCGAGGAGCGGTGCGGCGAGGAGCGATGCGGTGCGGCGCGCGAGCGAGGGAAGGCGCGCGCGCCGCGAGGAGCTGGAAGAAGTTGCAGACGGTCTGCGGCGTGGCGGAGTGAGCGTAAGGGTAGCGTGAGGGCGCAGCGGAAGAGAAGCTCGAGGCGGGAGGTGGGGTAGCGCGGCGAGAGTCGAGGATGGCGTGGAAACAGCGAGGGCCAACGAACGGGCGATGGCGGGGGTCGAGATGCCTGGTGCCACCGCTCCGGCTCCGGCCAGTCGGGGGTGTCGGTGTACGCAATCTCCCAGAAGACGTTGCCGTCCTGAGCGCGTCACATCGCCACGAGCTGGTGAGGGAGCGCGCACGGCGCGGGCGGGGAGTTGCGTCGCCCTGCCGAACCTCGAGGACGTCCTGCCACGAGAGAAGGCCCTCGTCCAGGAGAAGGCTGACCTTGCGCTTGATCTTGACCGGAAGGATGTTCTTCCAAAGGCAGCGGTTCTCCTGGGGCGGTGCAGCGGTCGGGAACGGGATTTTTGAAGCTGAGCGGCGATGCATCCACAACTGCTGCGTTCGAATTTGGGCGCACCAGCGCTTGCTCATCGGGAATCTTTGCAAGTTCGACTACTGCGCTGTCGGACTCGTGGTCGAAGGAGGCGGCGTCCCAGATCTGCGCAGACGGTTCGCGATGGGGCGCTCTGAGCGGGGGCGTGCGCGGCTGGGGGAGGCGCACTCGCTGAGAGCGGGGGCGTGCGCGGCTGCGGGAGGCGCGGGCGAGGCGCGCCACGAGCTGGCCGCGCGGGTCCTCCAGGCAGACCGGTGACAGGCTTGCGAGGAGCGAGAGGCGGAAGGTGATGTCCCCGTCGCTTCCGGCAGGGGGGTTCACCTGCGCTGACGGGCAGGCCGTCAGGGGCGGGGCGCGGGCGAGTGCGGGCCTGGCGAGTGCGCGGCGCGCCGGCTGGATCATCGACTCGGACAGGGCTTGCGCGAGCACGGAATGGCACATCGAAGCGGTCAGTCCGAGCTTCTGCTTGAAGCAGTCGAGGAGCGACTGGATCGGGTGGTCGTCGACGGTCCTGCGCGGGCGGCGCGGGGGGCGGAGCGAAGAGTTACTGAGCGGCGGGCGCGCGGGTGAAGCGCGCGGCGCAAGTTGCGCACGTGTCGACGAGCAGGTTTGATCCCTTGGCGAAGACGATGTCCGGGTGGTCGCGCAGGAGGACGCGGTACCGGAGCTCGCCGTCGAAGCGGTCGTCTGGCTTGAAGACGATGAAGCCGACCTCTCCGTTGAGGTCGTCGTGCTTTCGGAGGTCGGTGAGGATCACTTTTGTGCCGCGCCTGGGCGGAGCGCGGCCGCGGCGGTGAAGTGTGGCTTCGGCGGTGAGAGGCGCAGACGAGAGGAGCGCGGGCGGAGGGCGTGGAGCGTCTGGGAGGCATGGCTTGTACGCACCCGGCAGCGGCGAGGCCGCGCGCCGGCAGCGGCGAGGCGTCCATCGGGTCGAAGGAGAGGTCGTCGAAGCGCGACGCGGGTTTGGGTGCGTGGAGGTTGAGCTTGAGCGGGGAGGCCGCCTGCGTGAAGACGGTGGCCATTTTTGACGGAGGTTCCTGGTCCTGCGAGACTCACAAGAGCCGCCACAAGCAAAAGAATTTATTCGTGGACGTAGACTCACGCAAAAGAACGTTGCTGGTGAGGGAGGAGGTGGAGGCGGAGGCAGGCACAGCTCTCTAAAATGGCCCCCTTCGGCAAGCCTCGAAAGGATAAGAAAACGCGGCGTTCCGCAGTGCGCAACTCTCTGGGCGCGACCGGCAGGTGGACGCGTCGAGGCCGGCCGCACCCGTTGACGAGCTCTCCCGAGCTAGCTCACGAGCACGCTCTCTACTCTTCACTCAGCTCCTCTCACGTCTCAGCACTCAGGCCTCAGCAGCCTTGTGGCCAGCTTTGGCTCCCAAGAGAAACATCTAGTGAACAGCGAGCCTCTGCCCAGGCGCTTCCGCTCCCGCTTCGCGCTTGCGCACCAGCTCAGCCTTCCGATACATATGGTCTCTGTCTGCCCCACGAACCTACACCCCGCCCCGCCACCCCCCCCCCCCCCTCCGCCCCTGCCTATAGCCCGTGTCGGCGCCTCTCTCATGCCCCTCCCTGCGAGTGGATGGCCACCTGCTGCTCAATCATCCCAACCAGCTTCTGCTGGTACGCGGCCGGCAGCCCGTGCTCGCTCGCAAACTTGGCCGCGATGACCGCCGGGATGTCCCCGGCGTGGACTGGCAGCCGGGCCGACTTGCCTCCCCCGACGCCAACCTCGAGGACCACGAGCGCGTTCGAGTCCTTGGGCTCCTTGCCCATGAGGCCCGGCAGGCCCGCCGGCAGGCGGACCCGCGACTTGAACGCGCTCGCTGCGGACGCGAACCGCCACGGCGATATCTGCTGCTTGGTGGGGGCGGTCCAAGGCGCGGGGGGCGGCGCAGCCCCGCCGTTGGAGCCGCCATTTGCCGCCGCCGACGGCGCCGAAGGAAGCGCGGCCTCGCACCGCGCGCCCGAGGGGGCGAGCTTCGCCGCCCGCTTCTTTGCTGCCGCCTCCGCCTCAAGCCTCACGGAGGGGTCGGAGGCGGCCAGGGCGGCCGCGGCTGCCGCCGCCTCCTCCGCCTCCCTCAGCTCCGGGTCCTTGGCCGCCTGGCCGACCTCGGACCAGCTGGCGTCCTCCTCCTCCTCCTCGGCCCACCTCTCCTCCTCCACCCGGCTCGCCACCCTCGCCAGCTGCGCGCGCATGTCCTCCACCATGCGGCGCGTGGACTGCGGGGCAGGCGGCGGAGGCAGCAGGGGCGGGCTGCACGCCTGCTGCGCCACCGCGGGGCCCGCCACGTCGCGGTCGCCCGCAGAAGAGCGATCTGACGAAGCGGCCGAGGAAGGAGGGGAGGCGGCGGCCGAAGCGGTGGCCGAGGCGGCGGCCGAGGCGGCGGCCGAGCCGGCGGCCGAAACGGTTGGCGTGAGGCCGAGTGCGGCGTGCTGCTCGTCAAAAAAGTCGCCCGTCACCTCGGCCTCGAGGTCAAAACTGAGGTGCCGCAGCGACGGCGCGACGTGCGGAGGCGCGGGAGCCGGCACGAGGGCTGGGGCAGCGCGAGTGGCGGCCGCCAGGGTCGGGGCGGCCACTCTCGTCTCAAGCGACTCCCTCTCCCTCCTCCCCGCGGCGACCTCTGCCTCTGCGGCCCTCGCCCTCTCCTCGCTCGCGCTCGCTGCGGCTTGGGCGCGCTCAAGCGCCGCCGTCGCCGCCGCCGCCGCCTCTCGGGCCTCCTCCGCCGCGGCGCGCTCAGCCTGCAACGCGGCGGCGGCGGCGGCTGCCTCGCTCCTTGCCGCCTGGGCGCCCGCTTGCTCAGACGCCACAGCGTCGCGGACGGCGACCAGAGCCTTCTTCGCCTCCATCGCCGCCGCCCGTGCGGCGTTCGCCTCCGCAGTGAGCGCCGCGATGCGAGCTCCCGCCGCCTCTGCACCTTGGCTGCGCCCCGCCGCCGCCCCGGCCGCCTCTTCCCGCGCCTGCTTCGCCTGCGCGAGAGCGCGGTCGAGCGCCTCTTGCAAGGAGCGCTCGCGCTGCGCCGCGGCGGCCGTCGCCTCCTCCGCCTCCGCCTTTGCCGCCCGTAGCTCGCGCGCCGCGTCCCGCGCCGAGGCGCTCGACTCGTCGAGGGCAGATCGCGCCTCCGCCTCCTTCTCGGCCGCTGCGCGCGCCGCCGCCATCGCCGCCTCCACCGCCTCCTCCGCCTCGCGCGCCGCGGAGGCGGATTTCTCCGACGCGGCCGTCAGCTCGGCCTGCAGCGCCTCCTCGCGCGCCGCCGCCCGCTCCGCCGCCGCCGCCGCCTCGCCCCTCCTCTCCGCCTCGAGCCTCGCCTGTGCCCGCGCCTGCTCCAGCTCTCGCCGCACCGCCGCCTCCCTCTCCGCCGCCGCCGCCAGCGCCTCCCTCTCCTCTCCCTCGCCGGCAGCCTCCTGCTCCCTGCGCCGCGCATCCTGCCGCAAATCCTCCGCCTAAGGACATGTCTCGGACATGTCATGGACGTGTCCTGGACATGTCCGCATCCTGCCGCATCTCCTCCGCCTCGCGCCGCGCCTCCGCCAGCTCCGCCGCTACTCCGTCCCGCGCCGCCCCGGCCGCCGCCGCCGCGCCCTCCGCCTCGCTCAACGCTTCCTGCGCCCCGAGCAGCTCGCTGCGCGCCGCCTCGGCGCCGGCGGCGTCTGCGGCGGCCCGCTTCGCCACGAGGAGAGCCTGTGACAGAGACGAGCCGCACACACCCTCACTGGCGCTGCACAATGGCGGGGGCAGGTGTCTCGGGGGAGACGTGTGCGCTGCGGGAGGTGCACGCCTGCTTGGCGGCGGCGACCGCCTCTCGCAGCTGCGACGCCTCGTCCCGCGACAGCGCCAGCTCCTATGGGGACGCGTCAGGGACGTGGTCGTGGGACATGTCGTGGACATGTCGTGGACGCCCCCCGCCCCGCAAGACAGCGCCGGCGCCTGCCGCACCGCCCCAACCTCGCCCGCGCTCGCCTCCGCCTCGGCCACCGCCTCCGCCTTGGCGCGGGCGGCGGCGCGCTCGGCCTCCGCCAGCCGCGACCGCGTCTGCTGCAGCTCCGCCTCCAACGAAGCAGCCCTCTCCTCCGCCGCCGCCGCATCCGACGCCCCCTCGGCGGCGACCTGCTCCGCCGCGCTGCCCGCACTGGCCAGCTCCTCCTCGAGCGCAGCGACGCGGCTGCGTGCGGTCTGCACGTCCCGCATCGCCACCGCCATCAGGTCCGACGCGGCGGACTCCGCCTCCTTCGCCGTCTGCAGCTGCTCGCGGGTCGCCGCACATGTCTTCTCCAGCGCGTCAACCTTCGCCTAAGGACATGTCTCGGACATGTCGTGGACGTGTCCTGCACATGTCTTCTCCAGCGCACCAACCTTCGCCTCCGCCGCGCCGACCGCTTCGGCGTGCGCCGCCGCCGCCGCCGCCGCAGCCTCCTCGGCACTGCGCCGCTGCTCGGCGAGCTCCTTCTCAGCAGCGGCGCGGGCGGCCTTCGCCTCGTCCGCCTACACGCGGGAAGGCTCCGAGAAGGTTCAGAGAAGGCTCCGAGAAGGCTCCGGCAGTGCCCTCTGGCCCGCGAGTCTGCCAGCGTCTTTGCGGTGATCGAGTCACCACGCGCCCTCCGCCTCTCCGCCTGGAGGTCCGCCTGCGCCTGCTCCGCCGCAGCCTCCGCCGCAGACAGCCTGCTCCGCGCGGCCTCCGCCTCCTCCTCCAGCGCCTCCACGCGCGCCGCCGCAGACGTCGCCGTCGCCAACGCCTCCTCTCTCTCGGCGAGCTGCAGCTCCATCTCCGCGGCGCGCCCCGCCTCCGCCTATGGGGAAATGGTCCACACGGCTCACAGGAAAGGGCCTCCCCCCTCCTCCTGGGCCGCGGCCCGCCCCCCTCCCCCCTCCGCGCCTGCTGCTGCGCCGCCTCGAGCTCCGCAGCAAGCTGCTCCCACTGGTCCCGCTCGCCCGCAAGCCGGTGGCCCGCAGCCTCCGCGCGACGCAAGTCGTCCGTCAGCGACGCCAACTCGGCGTCCGTGCGGAGCACCGCCAGCGAGCGGGCCTCGACCTCCCCCGCCCTCGCCTGTTCACAGCTGGAGGTGTGAAGAGACAGCTCTTCACAGCGAGCGGGCCTCGTCCTCTCCCGGCCCTCGCCGCAGCAAGACGCGCAACCTCGGCGTGAGCACTCGCGAGCGCGGCGGAGCCCGCCTCGCCCTCGGCACGGCTCGCCCGCAGCTCCTCCTCCTTCGCCTCCACTGCTGCAGCAAGCGTCGCCCGCGCAGCCTCGAGCGCGGCGCTGCGCCCCTCCCCCTCGGCGAGCGCTGCACGCAGCTCCGCCGCCTCTTCACGGGCGGACGACGCGGCGGCACTCTCTGCAGAGAGGCGCGCCTGAGTCGATTCAATGGAGTGGCGAGTGAGTCACTGCGTCGCATCGTCGGCTTCCTCGGCAAGGGGTGCAGGCTCTCTCTCGCCTTGAGGCCGTCCGCCTCCTTGCTCACATCTCCCCATATCTCCCCACATCTCCCCACATCTCCCCATATCTCGCCTTGAGGCCGTCCGCCTCCTTGTCCGCCTGGTCGAGGGCAGCCTCGTACTCGCTCACCTAGGTAGGGGAGCAGCCGGAGAGGTGGAAACCTGCGTGGTGTCCCTCGCATCCCCCCCCCACGCCCCGCGCCCGCCCGGCGGCACACAGAGAGCGAGAGGGGCGGGGGGCGGGACACGCTCACCTGGCCGGCGAGGGCCATGTGCCGCTTCTGAGCGTCCTGGATCAGCTGCGCGCTCGCCTCGCGCGTGGCGTTCACCTGCGTACGTACGTGTGTGTGTGCCGCGACGTGTCTGACTCGGGCGCGTCACCGGCGAGTGCATGCGAGGGCGAGAGCTGGGCGACGTCCATGTCCATCGCCCGCAGCTAAAGAAGTGTCTAGGAGGGTCTAGGAAAGGGTCTAGGGAGGGTCTAGGGAGGGTCTAGGGAGGGTCTAGGGAGGGTCACGTCCATGTCCATCGCCCGCAGCTCGCCCTGCAGCCAGCGGAAGCAAGCCGCGACCTGCTTGACCGCCTCGCCCGCGTTGGACGACGCCACCATCGCCGACGCCGTCGCCGCCGCTGTGCTGCCCGCCGACACCGCCGCCGCCTAAAGGCCGAGTGGGAACGCGTCACCGGCACTTGCGCAAGAAGAGCGAAGCGCGGACTCGGTGCGCCGTGGAGCTGCGGCCATGGGATTGGCCGGCGGTGCGCGCGGCGGCGACCGCCGCCTGCAGCGACGAGCTGACCGCCTCCTCCAGCTGCGCCTCCATCGAGTCCGCCTGCTCCCACATCCCCCTCATCGAGGCGATGTGGGAGAGGCCGCCGCGCCTCGCGCCGGGCATGTCGAGCTCGGAGTCGCACTCGGGCGCGTAGCCCTCGCCCCCGCTGTCGGTGCAGTCGACCCACTGAGGCGGACGCCCCGCCCGCCGCGGCGCAAGTCCGTCTCCAGGGCTCCCCTCCGAGTCCGCCTGGTACTCGGCGCGCGGCGGCGGCGGCAGTGCGGCGGCGTTGAGCGCCGACGATGAGAGGATGTCCTCACGGGCGTGGCGGGCCGCGACAGCTGCGGCGTCATCGTCGACCGCCGGCGAGTCGGCATCGTTCTCCTCGAGCGCATCCTTCACGCCGAGCGCCTCTGCGAGCTTGGAAGTGGCCTTGAGCTGCGCCTCGATCCGCTCCTCGCGCGAACGCGCCCGCGCGGCGGCCGCCTCCTGCGCGGCGTGCGATCCCGGACTGGCGGGCTCGTCGTCGGCCGGGTCGTCACTGATGCGACGGAAGTACATGCCTCTTTGAAGCGAGGCAGGAAACGAGGGGAGGATTCAGGGGCTGGGTGAGCACTGAGGCGCCGTCTCGGTGGCGAGCGATTTCTTTAAAATAAATAAAGCGATTTCTTCACGATGGCTGCTCAGCGACATGCTCAGGCGGCCCCCGTGTGTGCGCGCAATGTGCGCCGCCGTGGGTTATATCATCCTTCCTTATCCGGAAATCACTAATCAGCCGCGGCAGACCGCAGCACCTCACGCTGCCTAGGTTCTACAGCGTGGCCCCGGCCTTCTTGTTGCCCTTCCTGCCCTGTGCCCTGTGCAGCGCCGCCTCAAGCTTCTGCGACTCCGCGCCGAGGACGATGGAGCCCTTGGGCGGGGGCAGGCGCGGGGGCAGGCCTGGAGGCTGGCCGGAAGCTGCCGTGCTGCCGGCGCCCAGCGGCATCGAGGCGCCGAGCCGGTCCCCGATGGAGAGGAAGAGCTGCGCGTCCAGCTTTGTGAGGCAGAGGCCGTCGGCCGCCAGAGGGACGGCCGCGACCGCGTCGGCGGCGGGGCAGGCGCCGAGGTCCTTGACTGTCCCGACGTCGAGCCGGCGGACGGCGGTGCCTTGGAAGGGAAAGGGGAGCGACCGGTAAACGAAGAGAGAGGTGAGAGGAGGGGAGCGCCGGTGTGGACGGCGGTTTGCCGGTGGCGAAGTAAACCGCGACGGGGCGGGAGGGCAGGTTGGAGAGGTGGGTGAGACGGCCTGTTCGCACAGGGGGGGGGGGGGCGTGAAAAAGGTGGGGAGGGTCGGGTAGGGTTGGGAGGACAAAGGAGGGTCGGGGCGAGGGGGGAAAGGCATGCTCGGCGTCTCTCAGCTTCGACCCTGCTGCCGCTGCGCAATCTTGATGAAGGAGATCCAGCCTTGGTAGAACGGCTTTGCGCTCGGCCCGCCAACGCCGCGGCAGAGCTCGGACCGCCCCCCCCTCTCGTGGAGCTTGAAGGCGGGGGTGGGGACGCCAGGCTCGAAGCAGGCGAGCGGGGCGCCCTCCGACGGCTCCCCCCACTGCATTAGCATCGAGCCGCCGCTCGCCTCGGAGAACACGAGGTGGCACCGCAGCGGCGTGTGGCTGCTCTCCGCAGCCACACGAGGCGGCCCGAAGCAGCGCTGGAGGGCCGACGAGAAGCAGCGCGGTTGCGGCGGCGGCCGCGGCGGCCGCGGCGGCGCGTCGGTGCCATGGGCGGTGATCGCTGGTTGGGACTTGGCCGCCGCCGCCGCTGGCTCCTCCGAGACGTGGGCCGGCAAAGACAGCACCCCCTTCCTGCTCTTGACGCGGTACCCTATGGGGCGTGGCGCCTCGATATCTCAGGGAGGACGGATGTGCCGTTAAGACGGCTGCATTCGTCTCGCGGGCAGCGGGCCCATCGACGAGTGCGACGTCCGAGTGCGGACGAGCGGCTGCGAGAAGATCTCATCCTCATGGACAGCTGGCGGCGCGCTCTGCCCATCAGGAACGGGAGAAACGCTGCGTGAAGACCAGCCTGAATCTGAGTCGCTGCCGTCGACCGACGTGCGGTAGGAGGAGGTTTTCAAGCCATCTTTCAAAGTGGGTGGCGATGGGCAGCGCTTGCCGAAGGGGTTCACCATTTTTGATCAAGACGTTTTTGCGCCGTTCACAGCCTTAATATTGAGACGAAATACGTCGTATGGCGCGGTGCAATTCCTAGGTCCGTTTTTGGAGATGGGGGCGCCGAACAAAAAGAGAATTTGCGTCCATCCCGGCCCTTTGGTTTCTGTGTTGGTGTGCTTTCTTTCTTTAGCCAATGTCCCAAAGATGTCCCGGGCGTCGGCGCCCGGCGTTGTCACCCCAAACGCCCTGGGGCGCCGCGCATGCCGCCCTCGCGCTTGTTGTTCGTGTGGCCAAAAGGCGCGACCGGAGGGCGCGCTGCCACCCGCCCTGGCATATGCTCTTGTAGTCCCACAGTGTGTATGCCATATGTCCCCGAGCCTGTCCCCCCCAGTATCGCCGGAACCGTCCAATGCCGGCATCCGACTCCCTCGATCCACCGACCTCAACGGGGACGGGAGGAGGTCCACGCTCGAGAGGGAGCTGCACGCCAAACTGAGGGCAGCTGATCGCGACGGGAACGGCGTCCTGGATGTGCGCAGGTTCACGCGACGAGGTACTGGTTCTCATCTCCATTATAGAGGTGGAGAAGAGGAAGCGAATGTACAAGTGGACTGCTTTCTTCTTCCTCGGCACTGCGGCACTTGCTGGTCTGCGGGCCGGCGGGCTGGCGGGCCCCTTTCCCTAAGCATTTATGGTTACGACTACGTTGGTGCCTCCCGTTGTGAGACACTGCGTCCCCAATTCCCCACCACATCACGCACGGCTTCGTCGCTCAGGCAGGAAGCTGCGGGACCCCGGGACGGCGGGCGGGGAATTCCTCTCCGAGGTGCCAAGGACCAGTGCGCCGCTAACCAACACACCCGCACGTGGCCACACGCGTTTCGGGGCCATCGCCCATCGGCATCGCTCTCGCGAGGCAGCTCACTTACTGCCTCTCCATCGCCCCCGCGCCAGGTCTCCGTCGAGAGGCCGTCGGGAGGCGATCGCCCTCGTACGCGAGCGAGCTCTCGACTGTTCGGCGCGGAAGGGAAACTGCGACAATTCGAAGCGCAACTTATTTCGATCAAAAGAAATGCGACGATTGCTTGGATTAGAAACTCGGTCGGCACTTGGATCTTGGAGCACTTGGAGTGCAGTTGGTTGGCAGCCTCACATCCATCCAGGGCCAGGTGGGAGCTAAGTAAGAAGCGCACCCAGCGGGCCTGATGCTCGGGGACAGGTTGCGGACAAGAGAGCCCTAGCCCTGGGGGGTGCGCGTTCGCAGGGGAAGGGCCAAAAACTAAACACGATTCTCCGAGGGTTGCCCCCCAACATGAGCTGGTCGAAGCAAGGTGGACCTTCCCTCGCCGAAAACCAAGGCCATGCTGCGGTTGAGGGCAATCATCCTCGCCCTCAACGGCGCCAGCGCCAGCGTCAGCCAATGCTTCTGCGGCTGGGTCGAGCAGTACCCATGCCCTGAGATGGTTGGCATGACCGCGTCGCCTGTGAACCCAAACAACCTGCCGTCGGCGGTCCCTGTCGCCGCCGACTTCTCGCAGCAGCAGTGCTACGACTATTGCTGCCCGGATGGCTTCTACAAGGACGACCCGACGCCCTCCCCGCTCTCTCCTCCGCCTCCTCTCTCTCCACCTGTGCCGTACGTCTGCTCTTGCGGGTGGACGGCAGACTTTTCGTGCCCAGGCAAGCCTCTTGGCTCACAGGGAGCGGCCAGTATCGACGGGTCTCCGTGCTTCAACTACTGCTGCAACAGCCCCAGCGCTCCGTACCCGCCGTTCTCGCCTTCTCCGCCTCCGTCGCCGCCGGCGCCTCCAGAGCCACCTGCGCTTCCTTTGCCTCCGGGCTGCTCCGAGTGCGATGCGGGCGAGGAGTGCGGCTACTGCCTCAAGCTCGTCACGCCGTGCCAGTTCTGGTACGCGTGGGAACAGGAACAGGCCACCTGCGGGCCTGACCTCGCCGCGGGAGAGTGGTGCCGCGGCGACGGGTCATGCGGGACGGGAGCGCCCGAGAACCAATGCACGCTCCCCATCTACAACGCCATCTACGTGCGCGTCGACTGCGCCCTGATTCCTCCCTCGCCCCCTCCGCCTCTCGCGCCGCGGCCTCCGGCCATGCCTGGCGAGGGAGCCTACCTGCCAGCTCCTCCGCCGCCCCGCGCACCCGGCCAAGACCTCCAGCCCCAGCGGCAGGGCGAGGGGAACGGGATCTTCGGCTCCATCTCGCTCCCGCTCCTGATTGTGATAATTGTGCTCGCGGTCTGCGTGCCGTTACTCATCTGCCTCCTTCTCTGCTACCTCTGCCCGGGACGGTTCGGATGCCGCAGGCAGGAGCCGGCGACCATGGTGCCGATCCCCGTGGATAGCCTGGGCTTCGGAGGCGCGCCAACCAGCGCCTGCTCACCCGCCCCGCTCCATGTCCCGCGCCCTGATGCTAACCCGCCGGCGCCCTCCAGGCACGCTCGTCATCGAGGACCAAGAGGATCGGAAGGCCGTGTCGCAGCCTTGAGAGCACGCAAGGCGCATCTGTCGAGTAATAGCGCCTACTAGTACCTGGCGCGAAGCGTCGATCGACTCCAGCGGTTTGTTGCTCTTTTGTTTACTTTTTATTACGTCGCGTGTTGGTTAGTTCCATTTTGCAAGGGCCAACGCACCTAACTACCTGCAGCCTGTAAACCGTCGGAGTTTGGCTCCCCCTCTCTCGCTCAAGACGCTGCCGTCCGTGGCCGTTCGCCGTTGTGTGTCTCGCGCCTTGCGGCGGGTGGTGTGATGTGTGGTCTGGAGGGTGGGGTGGGGCGTGGGCGTGGGGGGTGGGGGGGTAGGGGGGGGTGGAGGGGGCGGGCAGGGGGGGGGGTGAGGGGAGGAACCTCTTCCAAGATTGCCACTCTTGGAGGCCGCCACCGCCACCCAGAACACTGCGGACAGCGCCGGGCGATTACGGCTTACCGCCGCCGCCACCCAGCCCGCACCGAGCACAGGGTCCCCGGCGGCAGGGGTTACGCGCCCTCACAGCAAACTCGAAACCGCTTCTGCTCCTTCTGCGGAGCTTCCAAGCCAGTGCGGCGCGTCCTTGGCATGGAGGAGGAGGGGGAGAAAAAGGGGAGAAGGCGGCGCTGCTCCGCGGTGGGGAAAGACGTTGCCGCCGACCTCAACGGACGGATCCCCCTTTACAAATCCGACTGGCTTACGACCGACGGCCGCCACTGCCGCCGCTCCGGCGCGTGCAATGCGGCCCGCACCCCTCGCGCGCCCGCTGAGCTCACCCACTCAACGCGCGCGCGTTGTGGCGGAGTCATCGGGAGCGAAGCTCGCCGCCCTTGAGCCGCCTACTACACCCACTCACAGAGACCGTCCTTTGCGTGCACCCAACGGCGGCCACACCTCGCTCGCCGTCTCGCAGGCGTCTTCAAGATTGCTTCAGCCTCGCTATTCTCGTACATTTCGTCCATCCTTCCGGCCATCGTCATTGGCAACATTCTGGACGACCAGACCGATGGACAGCTAGGCTTGCCCGAGGCGAGCACCACATCATCCTCGCCCCGCGCCGCCCGCTGTGCCACCGCGGAGCAGCGCTTCTAGACGCGGAGTCGCCTCGCTCAGGTGCTCATATCGACCGGCGGCATGGGCGTGGTGTGGGCACTAGTCGGTGGCCAACCGCTCTGTATCATCGGCGTCACCATGCCCGTCGCCATCTTCACCTCGGTCTGCTACAAGCTCGCCGAGGCGCTCGACGCGCCCTTCTTACCGTGGCTCGGCTGGGTCTGCATCTTTTCGGGCGCTCGCCGCACGCCCCGCACCCGCTACAGCGCGGACCTGACACCCGCGCCCTCCTTTCCGGCCCACGCAGGCCTGATGCACATTGCGCTTGCGATCTTTGGCGCGGTGCGGCTGCTTTGCTGCGGGTGGACGGAGTCCCTCCCGGCGCCTGTGCTCACCTCCCACGATATCGCGCGTAGGTTCACTTTGTAAACAAGACGACCGCCTTCTCATGCGAGATCTTCGGCTTCTTCATCTCTGTCACCTACATCTGGGATGCGCTCGTCGCACTGCTCGACCCGATTATCACCGGCGCCGCGCCTTCCGCGATGCCCACTCCGCCCTGCACCGCTCCCACCGCCCAATCCTGCGCACAGGCAAAGACCTCGACTTTGACGGCACCTATCCACCCGGTACGAATGACACCGTGGCTTACGACGAGCTTTACAAGGCGCAGCAGCGCGGCGCGGCCTTCACCAACCTCGCGCTCGCCGGCGGCACCTACGTCTTGTGCATGGCCTTCCACCGGGCGCAGCGCTGGCGCCTCTTCACTCCGGGCGTGCGCGTCCTGCTCGCCGACTACGCCGCGGCCCTGTCGCTCGGCGTCCTGACGGCGCTGTCCTATATCCCGGTGGTGGACGACGCGATCGGCGACAAGCGGCTCGACGTGCCAGACGACAATGGCCTCAACCCTTCCTTTGACCGCAGCTGGCCGGTGGACCTTTCTGCCGGTGCAGAGGACCCGGCCGCCGAGCTCATCGTCGAGTCGGCGAGCAACGCCACCGCGGCGGCGCTCGAGGAGCCGCTCGTGCTCGAGGCGTGGCAGATCGCCGCCTCCACCTTGCCGGCGCTCATGCTGACGGCGCTCTTCTTCTTTGACCACAACGTCTCGTCCAAGCTGGCGCAGGACCCAAAGTTCCACTTGCAGAAGCCGAGCGCGTACCACTGGGACTTCTCAGTCCTCGGCCTTGAGGTGCTGCTCGTCGGCCTCTTTGGCGTGCCGCCGGGAAACGGGCTCATCCCCCAGGCGCCGCTGCACACGCGCGCCCTCGCCACCGTCGAGCTGCAGGAGCGAGCCTCGGGCAGCGGGCACAAGGAGACCTTCCACTCGGTGGTCGAGACGCGCTGGTCCAACCTGATACAGTCCACCGCCGTGCTCTGCTCCGTATTTGCCCTCCCCGCCATCGCCGTGATACCGCAAGGCTGCCTCGACGGCGTCTTTCTCTTCCTCGGCATGGCGGGCTTCGATGGCAACGAGCTGTGGGAGCGGATGTGGCTGATGATCACACAGCCGTCGCTGCGCGCCCGAGAGCTGCGCTTCATGGGGGCGGACACGCGCTACTCGCGCGTGCAGCTGTACACGGCGATCCAGCTCGCCTTTGTGGTGCTGGTGTTTGTGCTCGCCAAGCTGCCCTACATCGCGGTGGCGTTCCCGTTGCTGATCGCCGTGCTCATCCCCTGCCGCATCTACTGGCTGCCGCGTCTCTTCACGCCAACCGAGCTCGACGCGCTCGACCCGCCGGAGCCGCCGCCAGACTCGGCGCGCGAGCCTGAGCCGATGTCGCCGCGCGCGGAGCCCGCTCGGCCAAGCCCGTGGCCGGACGGCGCGGCCGAGGGCGGTGGACTGCACCTGGGCGGCAGCAGCACTCTGTCAGAAGCCCACCAGGCTCTTTGAGTATTGCAATACGTGACGTGTACGTGTGTGTGTGAAAAACTTTTATCAAGCTTTTCTCAGAAAGAAAGAAAGAAAACAGACAACCCAAGGGAGGGATGAGGACGGCACGCCGCCACCACACAGGGATTTTAAGGAGGTGTGTGTGATGCGCTAGCCGTCGCCCACCCTAGCGCCTAGGGAGTCTGCCTCTTAGTTTTTCTCAGGGAACAATTGTTTTCAAAAATTCTTTTCCTTGGTGCTAAGTGCATTACCGTTCTTAACGGAGTCGCTTAGGTGGCTCCGGTGGTGTGCCTGTGATAGTACTAGCACGCGCCAGTTCGCACCTGTGTCGAGCCTGTCTGCTGTGAGAGGAGTTCGGATCTTTAAATTCTTTTCCTTCAGGCGCCACATACGTAGAACGCCGGCCGACCTCAAAGCTGCTCCATGGACGACCTCGCACAAGTCGCGAATATCTCGACGAACCCCGCCGGGGAGGACAAGGTTGCGGCCGCGGCCGAGGTTGCGGCGGCCCGCGTACAGGCTGCGGCGGCTCAGGCCAAGCGCGGCGCAGCGATGATGAGCGGCTGGTTCAAGAAGGCGAGCACCGCATCGGCATCCATGGTTGCCGCCGCGACGACCGCAGCCGCAGCGCCGCCAAGTGCCAGCGATGCCGAAGCCGCCAAGGCCCGGTCTGAAGAGATCCGCGCCAAGCAGAAGGCGGAGGAGGCGGAGGAGCAAGCACGCATCGCCGCCGAGGTGCGGCAGCTCATCGCCTTGGACCAGGCAGAGAACGCTCGGCTTGAGGCCGCCGAGAAGGAGAAGGCGGACGTGGCGGCAGCGGCGGCGGAGGTGGCCGAGAAGGCCAAGACGGAGCAGGCGGCCAGGCAGGAGGCGGAGTGGGTGGCAGTCGAGGCGGAGCGGGTGCGGCAGGAGGAGGAGGCCCGCAAGCAGGAGGAGGAGGCCGCAGCGGCGGCGGAGGCGGCGGAGGCGGCGAAGGCGGCGAAGGCGGAGGCGGAGAGGCTGGCTGCAGAGGCAGCAGCCAAGGCGGAGGCGGAGAGGCTGGCTGCAGAGGCAGCAGCCAAGGCGGAGGCGGAGAGGCTGGCGGTGGAGGCAGCAGCCAAGGCGGAGGCGGAGAGGCTGGCTGCAGAGGCAGCAGCCAAGGCGGAGGCGGAGAGGCTGGCTGCAGAGGCAGCAGCCAAGGCGGAGGCGGAGCGACTGGCTGCAGAGGCAGCAGCCAAGGCGGAGGCGGAGAGGCTGGCTGCAGAGGCAGCAGCCAAGGCGGAGGCGGAGAGGCTGGCTGCAGAGGCAGCAGCCAAGGCGGAGGCGGAGAGGCTGGCTGCAGAGGCAGCAGCCAAGGCGGAGGCGGAGAGGCTGGCTGCAGAGGCAGCAGCCAAGGCGGAGGCGGAGAGGCTGGCTGCAGAGGCAGCAGCCAAGGCGGAGGCGGAGAGGCTGGCTGCAGAGGCAGCAGCCAAGGCGGAGGCGGAGAGGCTGGCTGCAGAGGCAGCAGCCAAGGCGGAGGCGGAGAGGCTGGCGGCGGAGGCAGCAGCCAAGGCGGAGGCGGAGAGGCTGGCGGCGGAGGCAGCAGCCAAGGCGGAGGCGGAGAGGCTGGCTGCAGAGGCAGCAGCCAAGGCGGAGGCGGAGAGGCTGGCTGCAGAGGCAGCAGCCAAGGCGGAGGCGGAGAGGCTGGCTGCAGAGGCAGCAGCCAAGACGAAGGCGGAGAGGCTGGCGGCGGAGGCAGCAGCCAAGGCGGAGGCGGAGAGGCTGGCGGCGGCGGCAGCAGCCAAGGCGGAGGCGGAGAGGCTGGCTGCAGAGGCAGCAGCCAAGACGGAGGCGGAGAGGCTGGCTGCAGAGGCAGCAGCCAAGGCGGAGGCGGAGAGGCTGGCTGCAGAGGCAGCAGCCAAGGCGGAGGCGGAGAGGCTGGCGGCGGAGGCAGCAGCCAAGGCGGAGGCGGAGAGGCTGGCGGCGGAGGCCGAGGCAGCGCGGGTGGCAGCGGAGGAGGCGGCGGCGGAGGCGGAGGCGGCGGCGGAGGTGGAGGCAGCGAGGGTGGCAGCGGAGGAGGCTCGCAGGGAGGAGGAGGAGGCTGAGGCTGCACGCGCCGAGGCGGAGAAGGCGGCGGCCGCGGCGGCGGCTGAGGCAGCGGCAGCGGCTGCGGCTGCGGCTGCGGAGGCGGAGATGGAGGCGGCGCGTGTCGCTTCCGAAGGTCGATCGGCGAGCCAGCTTCAGGCGGTCGCGCGAGGCCGGCAGGGGCGGGCCAAGGCGGGTGTTGCTGCCGCCGCGAAGGCGGAGGCGGCGGCGGAGGCGGCGAGGGTGGCAGCGGAGGCCGCGGCCGCGGCCGAGGCGGCGAGGGTGGCAGCGGAGGAGGAGGAGGCGGCCGAGGCGGCGAGGGTGGCAGCGGACGAGGCGGCCGCGGCCGAGGCGGCGAGGGTGGCAGCGGAGGCGGCGGCCGCGGCCGAGGCGGCGAGGGTGGCAGCGGAGGAGGAGGCGGCGGCGGAGGCGGCGAGGGTGGCAGCGGAGGAGGAGGCGGCGGCCGAGGCGGCGAGGGTGGCAGCGGACGAGGCGGCCGCGGCCGAGGCGGCGAGGGTGGCAGCGGAGGAGGAGGCGGCGGCCGAGGCGGCGAGGGTGGCAGCGGAGGCGGCGGCCGCGGCCGAGGCGGCGAGGGTGGCAGCGGAGGAGGAGGCGGCGGCGGAGGCGGCGAGGGTGGCAGCGGAGGAGGCGGCGGCGGCCGAGGCGGCGAGGGTGGCAGCAGAGGAGGAGGCGGCGGCGGAGGCGGCGAGGGTGGCAGCGGAGGAGGAGGCGGCGGCCGAGGCGGCGAGGGTGGCAGCGGAGGAGGAGGCGGCGGCCGAGGCGGCGAGGGTGGCAGCGGAGGAGGAGGCGGCGGCCGAGGCGGCGAGGATCGAGGCCGAGAAGGCGGCGTCGGAGGAGGCGGAGCGGCAGGCGGCAGAAGCGGCGGCGGCCGAGGAGGCGGCGGCGGAGGCAGCGGCTGCCGAGGCTGCCCGCGCCGCTGCGGTGGCTGCCGAGGCGGCAAGGGCGGCCGTGGAGGCGGCGGCGGCGGCGGAGGCGGCGAGGTTGGCTGCGGAGGCCCGGCTGTCGGCGCAGAGATCGCAGGACGGCGCTGCCGTGGCGAGTGGGATCGCTCCGTCACAGGAGGAGGCGCAGGCGGCTGCTGAGGCGAAGATCGCGGCCGACGCGGCGTGGGCAAAGTCGGCCAAGGTGATCGCACGCACGCACGCCAGGCACGCACATTGTTTACCCACGGGCACTGGGCCTTGCCCTTTTAAAGCCGGGGGGCTTTTTTTTTTTAGACGGGGAGTCGCGAGGATCGCCCCCCCCCCCCCCCCTTCCTTACCCGACCCTTAGGTTGTCGCGGCGAGGAAGCAGCAGACGCAGCGCGAGATGGAGGACGTCGCGCAGTCCGCGGGGGCGGGGCGTGCGGCCATCATGGCCAAGTTTGGCGGAGGCGTGAAGCGGCGCCCGTCGAATCCCGCCGCCGCCACTGCCGCACCCGCTCCCGCCAAGGTGGCGGACGAGGAGGAGGAGTACTTTTGATGCGGGCGGGAGCTTCGACGAGATGCAAGGGCGCGCCGTCATCAAGGGGGCGGCGCTGCGGCTGCGGCCGTCGTGGCGGCAACCATGGATGCCGATGCGTTGCTCGCCTTCTTGAATCAGCCGCTCATCATCGCTGCGCCGCGGTCGAGATGTTCGCGACTTGTGCGAGGTCGTCCATGGGTCGGTTCTAGTTGTGTGGCGCCTAATGACAAAGACGAATGTAAGGGTAAAGGGAGTCAATTCACAAAAAGAATTTGTGCGAGAAAAGGTCAACGGGTGCGGCCGGCCGACGTAAAGCCGACAGCGACACGACGTGTCCCTGGCTCCCTGCCGGGTCGCGCGCCCACCCGCCCAGAAACTTCGTGCGCACTGTGCGGAATCAGTGTACCGCGAGGCGCCAGTCGCGTTTTCTTATCCTTTCGAGGCTTGCCGAAAGGGGCCATTTTTAAGAGAGCTGTGCACCTGCCTCCGCCTCCGCTCCGGCAGCCACGTTCTTTCCCTTTTGTGCCTAGTGTTGTGCCTAGTATTTTGTGAGAGCGGCGTCAGGAATTACGGCTCTATTTTCCTAAGATGGCGGCTCTTGCGTCTTAGCAAGGGGCTTGCGCGACTCTCCCGTAGGGTTGCCTAACGTTAATTTGGGGCCTAAACAGAGTTGCGCTATTGTTGGCTGAAATCCTTAACGTTGTTCAAGGGTTCACCCCAGCCCATGCTGTTACTGTTTGTTGTGTTACTGTTGTTACTGTTGTTTGTTCAGCGGCCAGCATGAAGCAGAAAATGGCAAAAAAAGTAAACCCCGAAAATACCTGGGGTTTGAGGCGCCAGTCGCGTTTTCTTATCCTTTCGCGAGGCTTGCCGAAAGGGGCCATTTTTAAGAGAGCTGTGCACCTGCCTCCGCCTCCGCCTCCGCTCCGGCAGCCACGTTCTTTCCCTTTTGTGCCTAGTGTTTAGTATTTTGTGAGAGCGGCGTCAGGAATTACGGCTCTATTTTCCTTCCCATGGCGGCTCTTGCGTCTTAGCAAGGGGCTTGCGCGACTCTCCCGTAGGGTTGCCTAACGTTAATTTGGGGCCTAAACAGAGTTGCGCTATTGTTGGCTGAAATCCTTAACGTTGTTCAAGGGTTCACCCCAGCCCATGCTGTTACTGTTTGTTGTTACTGTTGTTACTGTTGTTTGTTCAGCGGCCAGCATGAAGCAGAAAATGGCAAAAAAAGTAAACCCCGAAAATACCTGGGGTTTCTGGGTATTTTTGGGTATTACCAACGATCTCCTGTTCTTGCGCAGAGATTTCCATTACTCACGGTTCTGTTTCTGTACAGTCCGCCAGCCCATGCATCTGGCATGCCCGCGGCGCATGCCCTGCAGCTGTCATGCCACCGCACCCGCCGCGTTCCTCTCCTCCGAATCCTCCGCCCAATGCCACCGGTAATGCTGGAGGATTCGTAGGAGGAAGATGGCGGTCAGACGGGTGGCGAGCTCGGGGCCGCGCATCCGGCGCGCCGAGTTGATGATCTCCACGCCCAACCCCGTGCGTTGTACAAAGACCGGGGAGGTCGTGGAGGCCTCAACGACCCTCTCCGAGCCGCGTAGTGCGCATGCGAGCCACTCGGGATAATGGCGATTGGCCGCCGCGTGGGCGGGCAGATTCGGCCAGTGCTGATAGAAGATCTGCAATTCGCGTAGGTGGCGGAGTCCACTGATGACCGACCATGCGGACGAGCAGCTCGTGGCGGTGAGTTGCATGGCACTCGAGAGGTCGAGCCTCTGCAGCCCCGTCGCGGCGAGCTCGGGCAGCTCCTGCAGGGCAGAGCTGCCCACCGAGAGGGACGTGAGCCCGGCGGGACCCACGCTCAACGCCGATGCGTCACGGATGGCAAACGAGAGGCCGAGGTGGCGCAGGCTGTGGAGCGAAGCGATCTCAGCGGGCAACACATGCACCACCTGCTCGCCCGCAAGAGCAGCGAGGCGTGTCTCGCCCGACTCGAGTTCCAGCCGCTCGAGCCGCCCAAACCGCCACACTGGGCCTTCGCTCGCCAGCTGAAAGGCCCCGGACAGGCGGAGCTCGCGCACGTGCAGCCGCCCACTCTCGAGTGCGACGCGCGCTGCCGACGGCGGCCCGGCGTCGGCCAAGCCCCCTTGGCTGTGCAAGTCGCGCGCGAGGGACGAGCCGTCGTGTAGCCCCACCGTCAGCTCGGGCGCGGTCTCGAACAGGAGCGCCAGCAACCTCGGCGTCGGCACGAACGAGAGGCGCAGCACGCGCACGCTTGATGTCGTGCGTAGCGCATACCCGACCAGCCGCGGCCACAGGCGCTCGACCGCGCTGGAATGGCGGAAGCCGCGCTTCTGGACGGGCGCGATCGTCAGATCTACCACGCAGTCGAGCCAGACGAGATCCTCAACGTGGCTTCCGCCTCCTCCGTCGCCTCCGTCGCCTCCTCCTCCTCCTCCTCCTCCTCCTCCTCCTCCTCCTCCTCCTCCGCCGCCGCCGCCGCCGCCGCCGCCGCCGCCGCCGCCGCCGCCGCCGCCGCCGCCGCCTCCTCCACCGCCACCGCCCCCGGCGTCGTGAGGGGCGATGAGCCTCCCGAGCAGCTTGGACGCGTGGTCCATGCGCAGCGCCGTCGTCCGCCATACCTCCGTGGATCGCATCGTCGCTCGCAACATTCGGTGCGCCATGCCGAACTTGTGGCGGAGCGCTCCGTCAACAAGGCTGGCACCGATTAGCACAAGCATGTCGTGAGGAAGCTCGAGGAGCCGGCAGCGATCGGGCTCGAGCGGCGCCGAGTCGGGCAGTGTCGGCGGTGGCGCGCCGGCGCCATACCCCAGCAGCTTCGCGCGCTCGCTCTCCGGCATGGACAGCAGGCAACACCGGAGAGCATTATGCACTGCAGCGAGTCCCACCGTGCGTGTGCTGCCGACGCGGAACTGGGTGGTTGCCCACGATTCGATTACCGAGTGCAGGGATTGGTGATCCCAGACGGGGTGACGGGGATTAGCATCGCCATCGTACGGGTAGCACTCGGGATTCGAGGGAAGCATTATGGACTCAAATCCGGGGATGTTGGTGAGTGCATAGAGGTGGTCGTCGACGAAAGCCTCGCCCTCGTTCGGAGGTGGCGGCGGCGACGGTGGCGATGGCATAACTGACGCGGTGTTTGGGATGGTCAGAGTCTCGAGGCTCATGCCGTGCAGTGTGCGGGCCAGCTCCTCTTCAGTTGCCAGGCGCGCCTCGAGTGCTTCCCGCTCGGCACGTTTCTCGGCGAGCTCGGCAGAAAGACTCCTCGCGCCATGGATCGGCGCAGCCCCCGCCATGGGCGTGCCCATCACTCCTATCTTTATCCCGGTTTCTTTTCTTTTTTCTGGTGCCGCCCCAATCCCTGCCACCGCCCGGCGTCGAGCGCTCTCTCACACACACAGCGAGGCCCACACACACAGAGAGCCCACACGACGCCCAAGGTAAGCTCAAATCGCCCTGCAGCTCAAATCGCCCACACGACGCCCTGCAGCTCAAATCGCCTTGAGGCGTACCATTGAGGGCTGTAGTTCCCTGAGAGCACTTGCCCCGAAGGTAAGTGCGTCTGATTCACAGCTTAGGAGAGTACCAGGAGCGGCAGCGCGACGAGCGCGAGCAGCGGGAGGAGGCCGACAGGGCGGCGGGGACCGCCCTGCCGCCCGAAGAGGTCACTGCCAGGCCTCGTTCCTTACTGTTGTTCAGTCGGCCTAACGTTAGCTACTGTTGTTGGGGAGCCCCACTGTTGCTCTGTTGTTACTGTTAACACTAGCAACACTGTTCAGCTCCTAACGTTAGGCAACCCTACTCTCCCGGTGCATCGCGTCGAGAATTGCGGAGCTGTTGTTGTTCGGGTGTCTGTGGGTAGCGTCGCGGTGTCGAGCCTGGCGTGAGAGGCGCAGCACGCCTCTCGAGCACTCGAGGTCTCTTGAGCTCGGCGAGACCTCGTCCCCGTCGACGTGTTCTCCGCGAGGTTCTCCCTTCTCGCTTCTCCGTTCTCGACGAGCGAGGATTGGTGTGACGCGATCCACGCAGGCGTGTTTTCTGACGGCCGAGGGACGGGGCGGACGCCCCCCTTGCCCCACCACCTTGTGTGTGGGGGGAGAAGTTCGTCGCACCTTACCTTAGTCCTAACCTGCTTACGGCTTTACGGCTCACCTTACCTCCCACTCCAAGCGAGCTGCTCTGCCCTCTGCGGCTCAAGTCGCCCCCCCCCCCCCTCCTACCCCATCTGAACACCCCCGAACCTCCCGCCCCAAAGTTTCGGCGCCGCTCACACGGTCGCGTTCGTCGGAGCAGCCTGCGCCGGGCAGAAGCTGCAACTTTTGCACTTGCAGAGAACGCAGTGGAACTTGGCCGCCTGTCGGTGCAAGGGCCGAGGGGCGCGGTGAGGGAGTCGGATCGGCGGGCGGGAGGGAGGCCGCACCCAACACGCATCCCGGCTATGCTCAACGCGGCCCAGGGCAGCGGTGCCTTTGCGAGGCAAAACGACTCGCACATCGAGACCGAGGCGTCGCCCTTCCTCGCGGGGGTGCAAGCCACCCCGAGGGGCAGCGGTTCCCCGCCCGGCGCAGCGCCGCCGGCCGAGACATGCGCACCGCCGACCACACCCCCACTCGCAGCTCCGCCAGCAACCACCACCGCGGCCGTGTTGCCCCCCTCGACAACGCCCGCGCCATCCTCCGACGACGCGTTCCGGCTGTCTACTTCAGCAGCGGGAGGCGGAGGCGCGCTGGCAGCAAGCCGGCTGGCGAGGTCGCAGCCGCTGCAGACCACCTCCGCCGCGCTGCCGTTGACTGATGGGTCGAGGTCCATGACCTCTGACGTCCACCACGCCTTGGGCGGCTGCCGCTCCGGCGGTGAGCGTGGTGGCACGCGAGCACTATTGTACTACCACACACCCAACTAATGTATTTAGCTCTGTACACTGCATTTTATCGATGAATGAAAGTAGCATCCAAATAACACACCAGTGAGGCGGAGCCTGGAGGGCGTCTCGGCTCTGGGGGGAGGCGGGGGCCCCCGGAGGCACCGTGCGCCGCGCAGCAGTGCGGAAACGGGGCCCCGGCTCCGTTAGTCTCCGTTAGCACCGACTTCCCGATCTAACCCGGTCTAACAGAGGGCAGATTTGGAGAGATCTCGAGGAGTACACACAGATAGACCCTCCAACCATCAGAAACCTCCAATCTGATCGGTGGTACTACTGACCGCCGACAGATCACTCCAGGCAGCAGACAGGCCGACGTCTGCACGCGGCCGGCCGGGCGAGAGGCTTGACACGATCCGACCCTGCGATCCTGATGCTGCTGCTCTAGCTATCAGACATGCACTGCTGACTGCTGCCACAATGTGCGACCTGTGCTGGCCCACTTGGCGGCCTTCCCGGTCAGTGGTGAGGCGCAGTTCAGAGCTGTCGATCGCGCGACGCCGCACTGTTCCCACATTGGTGACACGAGACCGCCAAGTTTGCCGGTCCAAGAGAGAGGCACCGGCGCTGTCCTGAGAAGGTGCGTGGTCCCTCTTGACTGCCCATGCGCGCGAGGCTGCGTAGGCATAGCCTCGAGAGTGCCAGCAGCCAGTCGCCGAGGCAGTTTGTGACGCGCATTGCGCGTCAGAAGCGTGCACGCGCTGGAAGGACACCTTCCTACTGGCGCCGTACGATCAGGTCGTCACTGAATGCTGGATACTAAGGCCGCGAGCTATGCAGGTGATCAATTGTGCAGCAGGGCACGGTCAGCAGCGCCGACAGGCTGTCGCGAGGCGTGAGATAGCATGGCCGCAAGTACGGCGAATCCCCACGAAAACAACTAAAAATCCAGCGAAAAAGAAAAATCGGCGCCTGCGGCGGGCCTTGGGACCCCATCTCCCCCCCCGCATGGATACCCTCTAGGGCGCCCCCGCCTCCCCCCAGAGCGTCTCGGCGAGCCGCGAGACGATCTCGAGCGAGAGGGGGCAGGGGCGTGAGGGGTGTCCTCTGTGTACCGGGCGCCGGAATCTCGATCCCCGCCGCCTATCCCGCAGTGCTCAGTGCACAGTGCTCAGTAAGCACCCCCCGCTCTCCGCGCGGCGCGGCAGAGCGCAGACTCGCACGCACAAGAACACAATTACATAACGAGAGAGACACAACACACGCACCGCACGCGCACAAGGGTCGCGGTGCGCGCGTGCGCATGGACACTCAACCACGTAATTACATGGAGACACGTTATAACTCGGCAGGGGCAAGGCCCAACCTCCACGGTTTTGCCTTCCTACCGCCGCTGATGCCGCGGCACGCCGCACTCGCGGCCGCACCACACGATCCCGAGAACTCGCGCTAATCTCGGGCTAATCTCGCGCCGCACCACACGATCCCGAGACGCAACGGCGAGGGTGCAGCCCAACGGCCGACAGCTGCGGACAGCCCTCGACCAACGCGGGGGCCCGATGCAGCAGCCCAGTCGGCCCGCAGCCCTCCCCCCCCGCGACCAAGCCCCCCCCCCCCCCCCTCCCCCGCCCGTCTACTCAGTGGCGAGCCGGATGAAGCGGGGGTACTCGGTCGGCGTGAGGAGGCAGAAGGAGCTGCCCACGGCGGGGACCGGCCTTGGCGGCCGCCAGCCGCCGCCGCTCCCGCCCCCAGCTCCCAGCTGGCCTTGGCGCGGGTCAACGGCAGGGTGGGAGTACGGAGTCGAGTACGGATATCCCGAGGGGGGGTACAGCGAGAGGAGCGGAGGCAGCGGCGGAGGCAGCGGCGGAGGCACAGCGGCGGAGGCGGCGGCGGCGGCAGAGCTGGCCACCGCACACGCGCCATAGACGGGCGCCGCCTTGTGGAAGGCTCGCAGGCCGAGAGTGTCGTCGCCGAAGCCCCAGCCGAAGACGCGCCCGTCGGCAGCGACGGCGAGGGAGTGGCGAGGACCAGTCGCGACCGCGCCGACCTGGGTGCCTCGTAGCGCCTGGGAAAGGGCGCGGGTCACGGAGTGGGCAGGGGCGTGCGAGGTGGTGTGGAGAGGTGTGTGGAGAGTGCGTGGGAGGTGGTGCTGCCGCCGCTGTGGGAGGTGTGCTGGATCATATGTCGAGAGGTGTGGGGAGGTGTGTGGAGGTGTGTGGGAGGTGTGTGGAGGTGTGTGGGAGGTGTGGGGAGGTGTGTGGGGGTGTGTGGGAGGTGTGTGGAGGTGTGTGGGAGGTGTGTGGAGGTGTGTGGGAGGTGTGGGGAGGTGTGTGGAGGTGTGTAGGAGGTGTGTGGAGGTGTGTGGAGGTGTGTGGAGGTGTGGGTAGGTGTGCGGAGATGTGGGGAGGTGTGTGGAGATGCGGCGCCTCGACGCGGCGCGGCGCCGGCCAATCGACGAGGTTGCCGTGGCCGAGCTTGCCAAAGGTGGCGTCGCCCCACGAAAAGACGGCCCCCTCTTCGGTGACCGCGAGATTGTGCAGCTCCGCCGCGGCGATGGAGCGAACCCTCTCCCCCCGCAGCTGCCCGCCGACCAGCGTCGGCGGCAGCAGCTTCACGTCGTCCTGCTTGCGGTGCTCCAGCGGGTGGGCGCCCGACCCCCAGCCTGTTCACAGCTGCAGGTGTGAAGAGACGCTCTTCACAGGTGGGCGCCCGACCCCCGGCCCACGTGCTGAATGCGCCAACCTCAGGGCGGGAGGACGGTATTGTGCAGTGTGTTCAGAGCACCACAGTGAATACACAGCGGAATACGAACACAGTTGAATACGTGTCCTCTCGAGCGCTGGTTGGAGTACAAGAGTCCTCATTCCGCTTCTAGGGCCCCCAGCTGTACACCCCCCCCTCCCAGGCCAGAGCGAGGTTGTGGTAGCAGCCACACGCCACAGAGCAAACCCAGACATCGCGAAGTGCGTCGACGGCGCGCGGCAGCCTCGCGTTGCGCAAAGAGCCGTGCCCGAGCTGCCTGCGGACATGTCTCGGACGTGTCATGGACGTGTCCTAGACGGGTCAGCAGCAGGGAGCCGGGCCCGAGCTGCCCCAGCGGCCGTGGAAAAAAGAAAGAGCGCGGGCGTGGCGCATCTATTTCTTTTTTGCCCCCAGCGGCCGCTCCCCCACGAGTACACGCGCCCCTCGTTGGAGAGGGCGACCGAGTGGTTCTCGCCGGCAGCGACGGAGGCGATGCGCTGCTTCTTGAGGGCGTCGATGCGGCGCGGCGTGTGCACGTCGTTGCTCGAGCCATGCCCAAGCCGCGAGTCCTACGGGACAGCTGCAGGAAACCTCCGAGAAGGCTCCTAGAAGGCTCCTAGCCGTGCCCAAGCCGCGACGTCCTTGCCCGCCCCCCACGAAAAGACTGCGCCGTCGTCGGCGACGGCGAGGGAGTGCGAGTAGTCCAGCCCCCACCTGGAAGAAGGTTCCCAGAAGGCTCCTAGAAGGCTCCTAGAGGGTTCCAGGTGCAAGTAGTCCAGCCCCCACCTGGAAGAAGGTTCCCAGAAGGCTCCTAGAAGGCTCCTAGAGGGTTCCAGGTGCGAGTAGTCCAGCCCCCACCTGGAAGAAGGTTCCCAGAAGGCTCCTAGAAGGCTCCTAGAGGGTTCCAGGTGCGAGTAGTCCAGCCCCCGCACCTAGAAGGGCCTCCCGAAGGCTGCTGGAAGGCTGCTGGAAGGCTCCTGGAAGTGCGAGCAAGTCCAGCCCCCACCCGCCGTGCGACGGAGACGCAGCCACCATGACCACGCGCACGCCGGCGAGCGCCTCGACGCGGCGAGGCTCAAACTGGCGCTCGACCTAGATTGGGAGAGATGGGGAGGGATGGGGAGGGATGGGGAGGGATGGGGAGGGATGGGGAGGGATGGGGGGAGGTGGGGAGAGGTGGGGAGAGGTGGGGAGAGGCGGGGAGAGACGGGGAGAGATGGGGAGAGATGGGGAGGGATGGGGAGGGATGGGGAGGGATGGGGAGAGGTGGGGAGGGATGGGGAGGGATGGGGAGGGATGGGGAGAGGTGGAGGGAGATGGCTCGAACTGGCGCTCACCTTCCGTCCGTCGCAGTCGACGCCGTGGCCGAGGGCGCCGAACTTCGAGGAGCCCCACGAGTACACGGCTCCGCCCTCGGTGACAAGCAGCGAGGAGTGAACAAGGAAGTGTCTAGGAAGTGTCTAGACCTCGGTGACAAGCAGCGAGGTGTGAACAAGGAAGTGTCTACGAATGTCTGGGAAGAGTCTAGGAAGTGTCTAGACCTCGGTGACAAGCAGCGAGTGGACAGCGCCCGCAGCGACGCCGCGCACGCGCAGCGCGGCGGCGGCTGGCACGGGGGACGGGACGGGCAGCCGCAGGCTGGGAGGGCCGCCGCTGGCGAGGTCGTGGGCGTGGCCTACGCGGTTGTTGTTCCGAGAAGGGTCCGAGAAGGGTCCGAGAAGGGTCCGAGTGGCGACGGCGTGGGCGCGGCCGAGGACGGCGCGATGCTGCGAGTCGAAACCGCAGGAGAGGAGACGCCTGGTATAGGGGGAGGGTCCGAGCAGCAGGCTGCGGGCAGGGAGGGGCGGAGGCGCCGACAAGGCTCGGAGAAGTGCCGACAGAGCGAGGGCGCCAAAGGGGAAGGAAGGACACGCGTATGGGGGAGGGGGGGGGGGAGGAGGAGGGGGGGGGGGGGCTGGAGTCGGTGCCGCTGCGCCTGCGGAGTGGGCTTAGGGCGGCACACGGCGGGAGTGTGTGTGGTGTGGTGTGCGAGGGGTGTGCGAGTGTGGTGTGTGAGGTGTGGTGTGCAGGTGTGGTGTGCGAGGGGTGTGCGGGGAGAGCGAGTGGGCCCAAGCTGTCGGGCGGCCTCCCCTCCCCCCCTCCCCCCCTCCCCCCGCCCCTCCCGCCCCTCTCTGCTTGGCGCTGCCGGCCTCACCGCTCCGAGTCGACGAAGAGGCAGTGGCGGTCGCCTACGCGGAGGAAGGTTCCGAGAAGGTTCCGAGACGGGTCGAGACGGGTCCGAGCCGACAGAGACGCTGTGGCGGTCGCCGGCGGCAACCACTGTCGGCGCGCGGAGCCGGTCGAGGCGGAGGAGGAAGGGCGCCCAGCTCTCCTACGGGGAAGGCTCGGAGAAGCTTCAGAGAAGGTACCGGCCGCCTGCAGAGGGGAGCGAGGCTCGACTCTCCTACGGGGAAGGTTTGGAGAAGGTTCAGAGAAGGTACCGTCCGCTTGCAGATGGGAGAAGGGCGCCCAGCACTCCTCGCAGGCGGGCAGGCGCGGCAGCGGGTCCTTCCCGTCCTGCGTGCAAGTCGCGAGGTGGTGACAAGGAAGTGTCCACGAAGTGTCCAGGAAGTGTCTAGGAAGGGTCTAGGGCCCTTCCCGTCCTGCGCGCGCAGCTGCAGCGCCGCCTCCACGGCACCGAGGAGCGGCCGCGACGCGTAGGCGAGGTGGCCAATGTCGCTCAGGCGCATCGAACGCAGCACGGCCGCCAGGAGCTCGGGCGGGAGATCGGCAAGCATCGCGCCCGGGCTCCCGTCGGCCGGGCCGCCCTCATCGGCGGCGGCGGGCGCAGCGGGACGGGCGGGCGCAGCGGCACGGGCGGGCGCAGCGGCACGGGCGGCAGTCGACAGCGTCTGCAAGGGCCGTCTCCGCGCCTGCAAGGGCGGAGCAGGCGGCGGCGCGGGCGAGGCGCCAGTAGGCACGAACGGCGCAGCGTGCGGGTTGAGGTTTGAGTCGGTCAGCAGCATGCTTGGTGGCGGCCGCCTGGCGTCGGTCGGGATCTGCTGCTGGCGGCGGCCAAGTGCATCCAGCGTGGTCGCAGCCTTCGACCCGATGATCCTCGAGGAGACGACCCGACGACAGAAGCGCGAACGCGTGTTTTTTCTTTTCTAAATCCCCATCTGCTACAATTACTTTTCCGCCATCGGGCCTTGCGAGCTGCGCTCTCGATGGTAATGCTCTGCTCGAGCATCGCTTTGTTTGGGCTGTCGGGCGGCGCGACCGTCCGCTCCGCCGTGGGCGGTGGCCTCCCCACGGTCGCCGTCCGCTCCGCGCCGAGCATGGCCGCGGTCGCCGCTCCCAGCTCGCACGCGCCGGCTGCTTCGGCGGGAGGCGACGGAAAGTCGAAGAAGATCTTCGTGCTCGGTGGCGACGGCTTCTGCGGCTGGCCGGTCGCGCTGCACCTGTCCGACATTGGGCACGAGGTGGTCATCGTCGACAACCTCTCGCGGCGCAAGATCGACGTGGACCTGGGCGCGCAGTCGCTCACGCCGATCACGCCGGCCGAGGAGCGCGTCGCCACCTGGAACGGCCTCTCCAGCCGCGAGCCCATCCGCTTCGTCAACCTCGACCTCGCTCTCGAGTACGACCGCTTCGTCCAGATGATGCGGGAGGAGCGCCCCGATACGATGATCCACTTCGCAGAGCAGCGCGCGGCGCCGTACTCGCAAAAGACGCCGGCGACGAAGCGGTACACGGTGGACAACAACGTGCGCGCGACGCACAACGTGCTGTGCGGGATCGTCGAGTCGGGGCTCGACATCCACCTCGTCCACCTCGGCACGATGGGCGTCTACGGCTACGGCAACTCCGGCGGCGAGATCCCCGAGGGCTACATCGACGTGCAGCTGCCTGGCGGGCGGGAGAGGTCCATCCTGCACCCGTCCAGGACACGTCCATGACACGTCCGAGACATGTCCTGCAGGCGGGCGGGAGAGGTCCATCCTGCACCCGGCGTACCCGGGCTCGGTCTACCACGCCACAAAGTGCCTCGACGCGACGCTGTTCCAGTTCTACGCGAAGAACGACCTCCTCCGCCTCACCGACCTCCACCAAGGCATCGTCTGGGGAACGAACACCGACCTCACCGCGCGGGACGAGAGGCAGCCCACCCTCCCCCACCCCCACGGTACCCGAACCCTCTCCCCCCCTACCCCCACGGTACCCGAAGCCACCCTCCCCTACCCCCACGGTACCCGAATCCACCCTCCCTCACCCCACGTACCCGAACGCACCCTCTACCCCCACGGTACCCGAACCCACCTGGTAGGCTGGTCAACCGGTTCGACTACGACGGCGAGTACGGCACCGTCCTCAACCGCTTCCTGATGCAGGCGGCGTGTGGGATTCCCCTCACGGTGTACGGCACCGGCGGCCAGACGCGCGCCTTCATCCACATCAAGGACACGTGCAAGTGCATAGAGCTCGCCGTCGCCAACCCGCCCGAGCCAAAGCCCGACTGGGGTGCCGTCGAGATCCTCAACCAAGTCGCGCAGACGGCGCGCGTGCGAGACGTCGCGCGCATCGTCTCGGACCTGACCGGGGTCGAGATGCAGCTGACGGAGAACCCGCGCAACGAGGCTGCCGAGAACGAGCTGGTTGGTGAGGCGAATTCATGGTTCATTAACTGTTAATTAACTATTAGGCTGCCGAGAACGAGCTCGACGTCTCGAACCGCAAGTTCAAGATGCTCGGCCTCGAGCCGACCCTGCTCGAGTCGGCAGCCGGGCTGATGACCGAGGTGACCGAGGTTGCAAACAAGTACCAGCACCGCGTCGACCGCTCGAAGGTCGTGTCGAAGGCGTACTGGAACAAGGAGCGCGCGGCGGCCGCCGGCGCCGCCGACGCCGTCTCGTCGATCAAGGGGGTGGGCGCCACCGCGTGATCCGGCTGGGAGAGGGCCAGCGAGGGAGGGGGAGGGCCAGCGAGGGAGGGAGAAGTATATCCGCCAGCCGAAAATACAGCGCCCATCGGGAAGAACAGAATCAGCAGTGAAAATTTATACGAACCAAGAACACCACGGAAAAGTTGCCCCCCTCCCCTACACA